ACGTACGTAGAGAGAGAGAGAGAGAGAGAGAGAGAGAGAGAGAGAGAGAGAGAACGTCCTTTGTGATTCTCAAGTCGTTCGTAATGCAATCGAATTTTATATGCAGCGCATATAAGAAGAAAATTAATCGCGGTTTATATGTTATTTTTTGATCGATCGATTTCATTCAATCTGACCTGCTCGCAGGGGGAAAATGGTGTATCGAATATGCGAGTATCGAAAGGGATTTGCTAGCTATTTGCCATTTTCGATGGTCGTAAAAGAATGATGAAAATAGGCAATTTTGTTTTTTTCGCGTGACGAGTCCGAATTTGGCGGAATTTTTCTTTGCTGCTAGATGCGCAGCTATTAAATTTTATTATTCCATAGAAAACAGAGAATGTGGGATCACTTTGTCATTGAGTGTGATACAGTAACGTTTAGTTGATTTCGAGGAAATATTTGTAGCCCCGAATATCGATGGGAATCGTGTGCGTTTCGAGTGACTTTAGAGGTGGAAAGCAGTATCGAATCAACGTTCAATGGCTTCGAATATGCGAGTATCCAAAGAGATTTGCTACGTATTTACCATTTTCGACGAAACAACGATGAGCATTAATTACAGACCGCGAAATTCATCCGCGTTTACGTTCTACGCGGATATAAATTCGCGAAGGGGTGGTTTTTCTTTTTCTGCACCAATTTTCCTGAAGCAACACTCTTTTCATTCAATCCTCAAATTCAACGTCCCCGTTTCACAAATATTTGTTCACTGATAACTTTAACAGACCGTGAATAATTATCTTTTCTTACCTTTTGGAATATGTTATTCTTTTATATTCGCCTCGATCTTTTCGATATATAGATCGATCCTTCAAAGATGTTCCACGAATGTACGAACGCTCGAGAAAAGTAGCAAGTAGTACCCTCCATCCGAATTTCTCAATCGAGCCACGTGAAAATGTCGGGAAGCGTGGACGAAAGATGGGGAAAAAAAAGCTAGACACCTCGACCAGTTTTCAGTATCGCATTAGCTCGATCAGGAATGCCCCTATCTCCGTTCCATCGGCCTCCTGTCAGCGACCTCTATCCCGATGAATGTTTAATGTGAATTTAAGACTCGTTCCCGCGGTACCCCCTTCGCCGTCTCCTTCGGCCGGTCGTCAGCAACGTTTCCCGCTCGTTGTCACGTTTTGGTGGTTTCGGTATAAATTCGCTCGTGGCCGTGGTCATAGTCACGCGAGCGCAGTGCCGTAGACACCGTAACCCCTGGGGGTGGATAAATTTGCATTTCAACACGGGCGAATTATACGGCCACGAAAAGAGGCCGGTTTAACTTTCGCGATTCTTGAGGAGGGGATGAATCGTTTGATGGTCGCTTCTTCTTCTTCTTCTTCTTCGATTTGGATGATCAAATTGTCACGGACGATTATTGTTGCGATTTGTTTCGATCAAGAATGGGGAAATGGATATTTTATTAAATATCGAACGAACAGTTCTGTTTAGAAATGTGCAAATTTAATTTTCGAAATTTGAAACTTGAGTAATTTCAAAGTGTTAATAATTTCCGCATCGATTCCTTTTAACGAATTTGCGTGTACCTTGCAAATTTTTCTCCGTTCCTGATTATTAAGAAAACGTAGGTTAAACTCGATCTTCCTCAATTTAAAATTTATTCAATTAACAATCTATTAACAATCTTCGTCGTAGAATGTAATGGTATAGCATAAATTATCCTCAAAGTATCCTAAAAAATTAAACGTCTACTTTACGCGAATTACGTATATCAACTGGAAGATTAAATTGCAAAAAAAAAAAAAAAAGAAAAAGAAAAAAAAGAATTCTCGCTCCATTGTCACGAAATTCCTCGTTCGCGTGACACAAAGAAGATTAATCTCTCCTAAATTTTGTAGCCGCGTGTAACGCGAGATTGAAATAAAACGAATTTTTTTTTCGCAGGTTATGAATGGAAATGGGAAACAGTCGATTCGCCATCGGCCTCCTCGATCCTGCTCGCTCGCTCGCGAGGAGGGAACAGTCGATGAAAACGACGAGGGCGGGTTGTCGTACGTCTGACGTTGCTATTTACGATCCTGTTGACGCCTGAGCACATGAAATAATATCGCGTGGTGCCAGCCGGCGGCTGCTCCTCGGATAAGAATTATTATGGCGGCCGCAAATAGACCCGTGTATAAGTGTACTTATTATACGTGGTGGTGGAATGGTAGAATGAATTCGCCAGCGCGGGGTGGATCAAAGGGAGAGAGAGGAAATAAACGAAAAGATGGAGAAAATGCGAGTTCCACGAGTCCGCCACGGTGGAGGAATTTTAATTATCCGTGCCTCGTGGTCGCGGTACGTGCATGATTCGGGGTAATGATAGGTAAACTAGGAATACGGCCCCGAATAACAATGAATTTCTTCCGTGCTCCCCCTTTTCCGGTAAATATCTCTCTTTTTCTCAGAAATTTTGACCGTTTCGTTTCTTCCGTTGGTCGAGTGTGTTTAATCGCGACATCTATTGTCCTTTTTTTTTGTTTTTATATTTCGTGCATTTATGAAAATTTTAAATAATACGCTTGATATTTGGAACAAGGGAATGTTTTAGAATTGCAGTTGCAATTGCAAAGAGTTATTTATATTATGTAAGTTTTTAAAATAGCATTGAATGAGAATGCAAGAATGAAATAAATATATTGGAAAATTGCAAAGAAACAGATAAAAGAAAAATTAAACAATGTAATTAATATTGATACGAATATATATATTAGATCCGCTATATTTTTCTAATCCAATATCAAAAAGTGATCATTTTATTTTTTTCTTTTTGTACAAAATTTTTTAAATACTTAAGTATAGCAAATTTTTTGCATGAATGCAGGTCAAAAAATAACATTCTTGTCTTTTTATTAATTGAAAAAAGAAGTTTCTTGGGAAAGGAATTAAAAATTTGTTCGAATTATAAACAATAATTCTTGCAAATAATAACAAATTAATCGATATAAAAATATATACAAATAAGTATTATTATTTTTTCATGGAAATTATACTTTTTTTAAAATAAGAATGAAATAATGAAAAAAATTTAATATTATTATACTGTGACCATCAGACAGTGTAATATATTCTTCCTTCTTTTTATATGCTAACTATCGAACAATACAAGCGTGCATATCCAAGCGTGAAATATATTCCAAAATTTAAAATACGCACGAAAGTTACTACGACACCTATTGTTATATCCGTTATTATTATTATCGTGCCGTGACCGCTAGGCGTCGTTAATTCGAAATTCTCTTTCTTACGCGGATCGTTGAGCGAGGCAGACGTGTTTACACCACCGATCGTAAGATATTATTACTGCGCATATTCTAAAAAATTATTAACCTCTTTCTTTCTTCTCTTATTAAGTTTCAGACCAGCGTTGCACTCGGCGAGGGTTCGTTCAAAATGCAACACGTGTAAACCTCTGCGTCGAATTAGCAAGAGAAATACGGTTCTAATGCGAATTATTCCACGATGCGGATGCTCATGGAAGAAAGAGGCTCGTGGCGCTACCGATGGAAGCGGACGAAAGCATAGCAAGGAGAGAGAGAGAGGGAAAGAGTGTTGCTCAAACATCCGAGTGTTTATCACGTCGAGTGAATGATTACAACGATGGGTGAGTATTATATGCATTTATTACGCGCGCACGGATGCGCATATACACGTGAAAAGGACAAGTTGGGCGCGTTACGCTATACGTAAAGACCGACATAAATTATCCGCGTAATGCGGACGGGGGAGCGTAATAATAACATTGTCGAGTAGCGAGTGAGAATACACCACCAGGTTTCCCTCGGCATTCCCATTCCATACCGTAGCTCCCAGTTGTCTCAAGGGATTAACTCGCCTCGTGGAACCCATGCTATACGTCTCGTGTTTCCGCTCCAGTGTCTCAAGAAGTCAACCTCGAAAGGTTCAGCCTAGATAGCTTCGCGTCGTGTTCTGTCTTTTAGTGTACGTATAGTGTGTGTGTGTGTGTGTACAACTCGTGTGCACGCATGTGTCAGCACGTGTTATATCTAGCGATGGGATCAAGTACAATATGTATTTATAAATCCAAGTGAAATCGAACGCAAAACTTTTGTTTCGTAAGAATTGAATATTATCTTTATAGTAAGAAGTTTATTAGTAGTAGACTAAAATGAATATTGTATAATTTTAATCCCTTCTTCTATTTTATCTTCTTCTATTTGCAATCTATTTGATAAATAATATTTTTACGATATGATCAGATTTTACGTTACAATATTAATTTATTAAAATAAATAGGAAATTTTTAGTGAAGCTTCTTACTACGTTTTCGAGTACGTTCGAATTAATTCGAATCTTCTTTAAGGCTTCTCTTTTCGACAAATTTACGAAAGATTCGAATCTTGTCTATCTTGTGATATGCTTGATCCCATCACTAGTTACACCCACACATACGGTACACTTATGCGTCTCCGTCACGACGTTTCATGAGCTTACGTTTCGAAACCGGTCGAACCTTTCCGAAATTCGCATCCGTGGTGGTGCAAGGCCCGTGGCTAATGCCTCTCGGAAGGACCGTGACTAATGGCTGTGTCATCGGATTTCACGAGCTTTCGATCCGCGTTTTTTTTAATTCGATGCATCCATTTGATTTTTCGATTGATAAACGCCGCTATGCGTGTGTCACCAGTGTGTATCGAGTCCCTTTAATTCCATCGAACGTCATACGTTGCCCAATCTCCTCTCTCTCTCTCTC